AAGGAGCAAAAGTCACGGTTCTGGCACGTTGATTGCTAGCCTCCAAGCGCTCCTATCCACCGCTAAATCCTTGGAGATATTCCAATCTTTAAGGCCTCTCTTAACCGACTCTTCCAAGTGAGTTTAGATCGACCTCTACCTCTCTTTACATTATCGACCCGCTGTAGAACTCCCGTACGCACCGGTGCATCAGGAGGCCTCCGTTGGACATGTCTGAACCACCTCAGCCGATGTTGATCCAATTTCTCCTCAATTGGAGCCACCCCGACCCTATCTCGAATATCTTCATTCCGGATTCTATCCCTTCTTGTGTGCCCGCAGAACCAACGTAACATACGCATCTCTGCTACACTTAGTTGTTGGACATGTTGCTTTTTTGTAGGCCAACATTCAGCACCGTATAGCATCGCCAGACGAATCGCCGTCCTATAGAACTTACCTTTTAGCCTTTGTGGCACCCTCTTATCACAGAAAACGCCTGAAGCTTGACGCCATTTCAACCAATCGGCTGCAATTCTATGCCTAACATCAACATCAATGCCGCCATCCATTTGTTGCATCGATCTTAAATACCGGAAAGTCTCCTTCTTGGCCACCACTTGCCCGTCAAGGCTACGTCCCCATCATCATGTGTAGCCATGCTGAAAGAGCACGTCATGTACTCGGTCTTCGTCCTACTAAGTCTGAAGCCTTTCGACTCTAACGTGTCCTTCCACAGCTCTAACTTCCTATTTACCCCTGCCCTACTCTCATCAACTAGCACCACATCATCAACAAAGAGCATACACCAAGGGATATCACCTTGTATGTGTTGGGATCTGTGAGGATCTCGTTATGTACAAGTCACGAATTCAATAGCAAACGTAAACCTATGCGCAGCGGATCTAAAGGTTTGACGTAGAGAACTTACGGCTTAAAATTTATGTAGATTTGGTTGACCAAGAACGGTTGACAGCAATTGATTGACCGCAAATCATGTCTTGGGTTGCACGAACAAGATCAGATCAAAAGCGGATCAAACGGATGCAAACAGATCAAAACGAAATTTTGCAGCCTGGTAGCTTGCGGCAGCGCGTGAGGGCACGTGAAACTTTGGATTCCAGCGATCTCGATGGCGATGGAAAGCTCTCATCGAGACGGTCGTCTGGGTATGCTGTACGTCTCAATCGGACTTCCGGTTAGTTCTGTAGGTCAAAATATATTTCGTCTCGATTTACCTACAGATCTTCTACTGTATTACTCAATACACCCTTCTTCAACTTGTACCAGTGGAGCAACAAGAAGAAGATAAAACTCGAACGAGATCTAGAGAGAGGCGTGTGAGGCGTGTGAGGCGTGTTTCACGTGAGATGTGAACTCTATTCTCTTCTCATGAGCTTAATAATGTATATATAGAGCTACAGTAGGGAAAGAGCCTAAGGAGATTAGGAAAATAGCTCCTTAATTAATTAGACTAACTGTGGGCCAAGCCCACTCCTCTAATTAATTAAATAATAGTAATGGGCCGCCAACATTATATTATTGCACTCCCTCTTCCTAGCCCAAATTACATTTGGAACTCCAGTAATAATTACGCGATTTACCTCCCCACATTTAAGATATAATGTCCATTAATTAATTCGATTACTGACAATCAAGAATTAATTAATTTATTATTATTTCACCGAAGCTAGCGCTCGTTCATCACATTCTTATTATGCCGGAACTTAATCCACCTGCAGGGTTTAGCATAACAATCCTTCATGAACTCACTCCGGGGACATCATCAAACTAACGCACATGGTGACCGTAAATATCCTAACAGCACATCCTATATATAATAATATTACCCAAAACAGTAGGAATATTAATCCAGCGAACTGAACCTCACCCATGTGAATCAAAGGAATATATATTATATATATCTGCCTGCTTAACATCTTACGGGTTAGGAGAACGCAGTAATTAACCGAGGCCTAGTTCATTTACGACGATTAGTATAAAATGAACTTCTCTTCTCTGGGATCCTGTTCAATACATAAATGTACTAGTGCAACTAATCAGTCAAGACAAACTGTACAGTTGACACTACAACCGTGTGGATGGGGTGTTCATGTCCAACTAGGTTGTGAACAACTATTCTTGTTCGCAAGTAACTGATAGAGTGATCTTCGGTTCGCCCGATGATGACCCACTCCATCTAAGTGCAGAACAACAGAACGTAGAACTTGTTTAATCTAACATGATTCTCATTAATAAATGGTAAATGTGTAATAACATGCAAAGCCAAGCTTTCAGTATATAACACTAACAGTATGTCCCTTGTGGCCTCATCCATCACCAAGGCAAATAAATATGGGCTCAATGTTGACCTCTGGTGTAGTCCTATTTTAATTGAGAAGTCGCTGTATCGCCCCCACATGTTCGGACACACGTCATCGCATCCTTGTACATATCCTTGATGAGGGTAATGTACTTAGATGGGACTTTGTGCTTTTCTAAGGCCCACCACATGACATTCCTCGGTACTCTGTCATAAGTCTTCTCAAGGTCGATAAAGACCAAGTGCAAGTCCTTCTTTTGGTCCCTATATCTCTCTGTCAACTGTCGTATTAGGAAAATCGCCTCCATGGTCTACCTTCCAGGCATAAACCCAAATTGGTTTTGGGTCACACTCGTCACTCGTCGTAGACGATGCTCGTAACCCTCTCCCAGAGCTTCATCGTATGGCTCATCACCTTAATCCCACGGTAGTTACCACAGCTTTGAACATCTCCCTTGTTTTTGAAAATCAGTACTATAGTACTTCTCCTCCATTCATCAGACATCTTGTTTGACCGAAAAATGAGGTTAAAAAGCTTAGTTAGTCATACTAACGCTCTGGCGCCCAAGCATCTCCGAACCTCAATGGGGATACCATCGGGGCCCATTGCTTTACCTCTTTTCATCCTCTTCATAGCCTCTCCGATCTCTGCCTCCCGAATTCTCCTCACCAAGCGTCTATTGGTATCCTCAAATGAGTCATCCAACTCCAGGGTAGGACCCTCACTCTTCCTATTAAACAATTTGTCGAAGTACTCTCGCCATCTGTCCTTGATCTCCCCATCCTTCACCAGTGGCCGATCCGACCCATCCTTGATGCATTTGATTTGGTTGATGTCCCTTGTCTTCCTCTCCCGAATCCTAGCCATCCTATAAATGTCCTTTTCCCCCCTCCTTCGTGCCTAGGCGCTGGTAAAGGTCATCATAGGCCTGACCCTTTGCTATACTCACGGCACGTTTTGCAGCCCTTCTCGCTATTTTATAGCTCTCAATGTTGGTTGCACTCTTGTCAAGGTGGAGACGCTTGAAACACTCCTTCTTCTCCTAAATAGCCCTTTGCACCTCGTTATTCCACCACCAAGTGTCCTTCTCTTCCTGCTTGCCTCCCCTACTCACACCAAGTACTTCTGCAGCCACCTTCCGTACACATGTTGCCATCTTTAGCCACATGTCATCTGCATCTTCTTCTTCTTCCCAAGGCCCCTCGCCTAGTATCCTATCCTTAAACGTCTGCGCCACTTCCCCTTTAAGCTTCCACCACTTCGTTCTCACGGTCTTGGCACGTTTGTCCCGGTGGACACGTATTCGGAATCGAAAATCCGCCACCACCAGCTTATGCTGGGGGACAACACACTCTCCAAGTATCACCTTGCAATCTACGCAAGCGCGTCTATCCTCCTTCCTTGCAAGGATAAAGTCGATCTGACTTGAGTGTTGTCCACTATGGAAGGTCACCAGGTGAGATTCCCTCTTCCTAAAGAGGGTGTTCGCTATCAACAAGTCGAAGGCCATCGCAAAGTCCAACACACCCTCCCCCTCTTCGTTCCTACTACCATACCCAAACCCTCGTGCACTCTCTCGAAACCTACATTAGTCGCACCCACATGGCCGTTTAGGTCTTCTCCTACGAAGAGCTTCTCGCTGGCATGTGCTCTCACTAAGACCTACCTGAGGAGCATATGCACTGATCACATTCATGGTCAAATCTCTAACTACCAATCGGACTAGGATAATCCAGTCGCCTTGCCTCCTAACATCTACAACTCCATCCTTAAGGCTCCTATCGATCAAGATGCCTACACCATTCCTACTCGATGAAGCCCTAGTGAACCAAAAGTTGAAGCCAGTATCCTCCACCTCCTTCGCCTTCTGTCCATTCCATTTAGTCTCCTGGACGCATAGGATATTTACACGCCTCCTAGTAGCTGCATCGACTAGCTCACGTAGCTTACCCGTTAGGGACCCTACGTTCCAACTACCTATACGGACCCTAGTTGGTTCGACTAGCTTCCTTGCCCTTTGCACCCGTCGAGAGAGATGCGAAGACCCTTGCTCATTTTCCACTACACCCGGGCGCCGATGTAGCGCGCCACTAAGGAAATGATGACCCGGTCCATGCTCACTTAACACCATGCCCAAACCACGACATGGCGCGTCACCGAGAGGGAGACGACCCGGCCCTTGCCCATTTGACACCATACCCGAGTTCCGATATGGCGCGTCGCTAAGAGGGTTACGCCCCAACAAATTTCTCATGTGTTTCATCTCCATAGAACGGCTAGGTTTTACATTGGCTCGTCAAGCCTATCACAACCCTCCTCCTTTACTAGAGCTTGGGACCTGCTATGTTGAGACAACATAGGCAGTTGTACAAGTGAAGTAACATTTGCAAATATTTTTATGGTCAAATTATTATGTATATACAACATTAATCAAATTGCATAAGTAGTTAGTAGCCTGGCCACAAAATAATAAACCCTCCTTTGACTAATCACTCCAAATCATATCAATACCAACAAAATTACAAAAATGGTCCAACTTTAATTAATTATATCCCTAAAAAAAAGAAAAACTTAACTAATCTTCACTTAACACCACAAATGACAAACCTCCCAGCAGATTTCCAGTTTCCAACAACAATTCCACCCAAAAACGAGTTGAAGAACACTCAAGCAACAAAGTGATAAAAGTAAGAAATCGAGAGAGAGAGAGAGAGAGAGATCAAAACAACGTTGAAAAAGATTGCAATAAATTCTGGTTGTTGCTTACATTGCAGTTGAAAACTTGAAAGAGAGAGAGCATAAACAACTTTGAAAAAAAATTTACTTGTTTCCCACATCATCTCACATTCATTTCTTGTTTCTTTTTCGACCACCGCTAAATTACACCAATCCACACTTTCTCTCTCTAAGCCCTGATGTGCAGATTCCTCCCCAAAAGAAAAAAACCACATTTATTTTGGTGTCTGTTGAAGAAAATAATCTCTGGGCTTTGATTAAAATCCAATCTTGGCGAAAAAATGGGGAACAGATTCACGTGTATGTCTAAGAAAGACAACAAGAATGGAGGGATTGTGTCAAAGATCAAAAGGGGCTCGATGTCGAGGAGAAAGAGCTCAATGGAAGAAGAATTGTTGCACAAACAAGCTCTGGCCATGGCGATTCAACAGCACCAGCTTTCTCAGAGGTTCGAAAATGGGTCGATGTCCCGCCGGGTCGGATCCACCTCTTCTCGCCGCCGGGCCGCCAGTTTATCGGACCCTTTTGGAAGTACTAATAATGTTAAACAGGTGATTTTTTTTTTTCCTCTTTGTTTATCTTTGAAGTTTGTACAAACTTCCATTTCGTAGCTTTAGCTGGGTATGTGATTGTGTGGACACTATGATTTTATCCTGTGTATGAAAAGTTTGTGTTTTGATTTCAAGTGTATAATGATTATTAGGATCTAAAGGGAATCCTAAAGAGAAAAGTGAAAAAGGCTCTTTTTCACGGTTTGTGGTTATAATTTATCTCCTCGTCTCACAAATATATAGTCTTGTTGATTTTTTATGCAAATTTAAAAGTAAAAAAGCTATATATGGATTATTTTTAAAATTGCTCAAAATTATGTAAGCATTGCTCTCAATAAGTCCAAAGTGAAAAATAATTCTCTCTATAGGAGTTCAGAGTTCTAGAGGGTAGGAAAAAGGTAGTGTATTTTGTGTTTATTACTTATCACAAATTATTGCGTGAGACAGTCTAATCGTTAGTCGGGTCGATCCGTCGTACGTTTTGAACAAAAGTACATATTTTATACTATCAAATGTCATAATTTGTTTCTTAAAGTATGACATGTTTTAGAGAAAGTATGCACATTTGCAAAAGACTATCATATTGGCTAATGGTTAGGCCCGCCTAACACTAGCTTGCTTCTATATAATTTTGTGCTATCTGTTGGTAAAAAGTCTCTTCAGTTGTCTTAATGCTGCTAAAAAGTGGGAGATAAAAGGTGGACTTTGTTTAGTGGGAAAAAGATATATTCTCTGAGACCTTGAGGAGTCATTTTTGTGACTTTCTAGTGAAAAACCAATGCTTCATACAGATTATACTCTGGCTTTAGAAAATGGATATGAGTTTGTTGCACAAAGAAGATCTATTCAAGATCATTAATAATGGGTGTGTGTGTACAAATATATAAATCAGGATCATTACTGTGTCATTTCTTTGACCACTTCTATAATGAATTAATTAATGTTCATGCAATAAATAGTGTTTAACTTGTTATATAACACACCATATATCGTTTTTATAGTTGCCAGAGTTCTTGGAGAATATCAAGACGAAGAAATTTGTTTTGGTACACGGTGAAGGTTTCGGGGCTTGGTGTTGGTACAAAACTATTGCCTTACTCGAGGAAAATGGACTCCTTCCTATTGCCTTTGACCTAACCGGGTCAGGCATTGACTTAACGGATACTAAAAACGTGACTACTATGGCCGAGTACTCAAAACCATTGATTGATTATCTTGAGAAATTGCCAGAGGACGAGAAGGTAAAGGTTATGCATTTAATTAAAATTATGAATTAGCCCCTGTTAACATTTGTTTATTTATTTTTTATTTTTTTCAAATGTAGCATTTTTTGA